CGCACGTTCCAAGCCCTTCTAGGCGAGGAGGTTGCAGCCCAAATGCACGAGGCAGCAGGTCGCCAGCCGGATGCCCTCGTCACCGCCGTTGGCAGCGGTAGCGGTGCAATTGGCCTCTTCAGACCGTTCCTTCATGACTCGTCTATTCGTTTGGTTGGCGTGGAAGCCGCGAAGGCAGCTGCCCTGACAGATGGTGGGCTTGGAGTACTGCAGGGTGCCCGCACTCTCCTGCTCCAAAACTACGATGGCCAGATCCTTGACTCGCATTCCATTTCACCAGACATGAACTTGTCTACTGTGGGTCCTGAGGTCGCCCATTGGAAGGACTCTGGCCGAATTGAAATTTCCACGGCTACCGACGCGGCTGCCCTGGACGGATTTAGAACCCTTCAGCAACATGAGGGGATCTTGCCTGGTCTTGACTCAAGTCACGCGGTATCTAAGGCACTTGATCTCGCTAGAGAACTTGGCCCGGGTAAGAACGTGGTTTTGATGGTGACTGGGTGTGACAATATTGGCGAACGTTGGTTGGACATCTGAGTTGCTCGAGGGCACAGAAACGAGTTATGATGATCCCTGATGCTTTTCTCACCAATTCTCTCTCATTGACGGCGTTGGGCTTCTTGCTTCATTTGTCTATATCCTAGTGTCTTCCTGTATCATACTTTTACCCAGGTAGTTGCTTTCTTATTCCGAGTCAATGATATGCCCCGAAACTATTATACTTGAGATCATTGCTTTCTTTTTGTAGTTACGCTCTTCTATGTTATGTGGCTTTTTCTTGTCGAGCTGATGGCTGATGCCATGTGTGTTTTCCTTCCCTGCAGCTTGTCTTCATTGTTTGACTGTCATTCATCTTTGCTTTTTCCATGAGAATAGACTTTCTTCACCGTATGACACTCCCTCTAGTGAGATAGAATGAGGTGGCATGTCAAAGTCCAGTGTATTCCAAAGTTTCAAGGTTCTTTTTTACTTTTTGTCGTCAGTCATATCGCTATATCATGTACAGTAAAGCCTCATAAAGAAACCATACGTCATTATTCAATCCTCGTGCGTGATCGACATGTCCAGAACCTCAACCCGACCTCTTCCGCGGGTCTCATTGCTCACCAGTTCATTCAATCCCTTGAACGCACCGGGTTCAGCAAAACCAACAATCTCCCATTCATCCCCACCAACCACTTCTTGCGATTCAACCGATTCAATGAAGGCCATGATTTTGTCCTTGACGGTGCTTGGAGCCTTGGGCGTAGCTTCCACATCAGACTGACCACCCTCGATGTCTGAATCGTCCCTCTTAGCAGACTTCTTCGATCCCTTATTCCCTTTCTTGTTCTTTGAGCCACCGGATGGAGCTTCCTTCTCCTTATTCGACGCAGCACCTGGAGCAGCCTTGACGGATTGCTTCAGGAGGGACACTGGACATGTCACACGAAGACGCATGCGAGCCCGCATGACGGGGATCGGCTGCCAAGCGATGAGAGCCTTCATAGCATCCAACGCTTGGCTCTTCGCTGAGCGATTTGCCGAGACTCCCGTCCAGAGCGGCTTCTTCGGCGGAGAGGGTTTCTCTTCGCCATCTCCATTCGCCTCGCCGCTCGCTTGTGTCTGTTGTTGTCCGCTGGCCGAGGATAGTTGATCCAACGCCTTGTGGATCATCCCGGATGTGTACACGCGCTTGGTTGAGGGGTCGACTAGTCGACCTGATACGATATCCAGTACTTCCTTCTCCACTCGCTCTAGGATGTCTTTGCGCTCACGCTCGCCGACTTGCACTTCGCCTTTACGGAGTATCTCTTGCAGGATTTCGTCCCGAGGGGTACCGGCCCCGAAGGCTTTTGCTAGCTCTGCTGATGGCGCAGTTTGTGCTTTGGAGACGGAGAGGAAGACGGTTGGGACTTGGAGGACATTGTCGAGGTCTTTTTCAGCGCCGGATCGGTATTCCAGCAGTTTGTTCTTGTAACAGGCCAGTTCAAAGCGCTTCTTGCCTGGTTTGAGATAAGAGGTTAGAAAATTCAGAGCGACATAGGTAAGACAGAACTGTACCCTTTTTTAGTCGGACCACTGACACATTGGTGAATTTGATCTGGTTGGAGGGTTGATTGATAGGCATTTTGAGTGTGAAGCCGCTGAGGGCCGGTTGCGGTTGCTTCAGTAAGGAAAAAAAATTGACGCCAGAAAATGTGATGATCAAGATATGTTTCTGAATATTCCTTCCAAATGGCTGACACTGTCAAGACTGAATGATATATGTAGACTGAAGTACAGAGTTATCGAAAGTTGATTTGCGTCAGAAAATCTACCCAAAAAGGCTTAGTCGACAAGCTCGTACCCCTCGTAACCTTGGAATCCCGTGACTCATGCTGAATCATTCGATCATGGGGCCGGCCCACTCTTGGTGTCACCTGATTGGGCCAGCCGTCTCGTCTTATCGACCGTCCTCGGCGTCATCGGCCAAGGGACCTGCTTCTCCTCATCTCACAAGCACAAGACATCACCGTCTTGCTTCTTCGAACCCCTCAGCTTATTACAATTATCAACTATATTGTGGTATCTTCCAAGTGTAAGTGATTATCTTCCTTTCGCTTGTTTTTGAGGGCCATTCCTGCAAACGGTTACTGATAAGAGGTGCCTGACTCCAGATCCCAAGGTACCCGCTCCTCATCACCAACTCATCATTAGCATCATTGTTACTGTGAATTTCAAACACGGTTCGCAATGAGAATCCTGTCCGCCACTCTGTTGGCGGGAGCTGCTTCGGCCGCTGCCCCGCCCTTCCAGCAGGTCCTCGGGGCTCACAAGGAGTATGCGGAGAACGTAGTCAAGCAGGGTGCGGATGCATTCAAGCCCCTGCAGCACCTCCAGGACCAGTTCAAGTCTCTTTCCGGTGAGGCTCGTCAGCTCTGGGAGGAAGTCTCTAACTACTTCCCGGAATCCATGGAGAGCGCTCCCTTGCTTTCCCTGCCCAAGAAGCACACCCGCCGCCCTGACTCGCACTGGGATTATCATGTCAGTGGCGCCGAAGTCCAAGACATCTGGGTCTCTGGTGCTGAGGGCACCAAGGAGCGTGAGGTTGACGGCAGGCTGGAAGCCTACAACCTCCGCGCCAAGAAAGTTGACCCTAGCGCCCTCGGCATTGATCCCGGTGTGAAGCAGTACAGTGGTTACCTGGATGACGACGAGAACGACAAGCACCTGTTCTACTGTGAGTTTGGAAAACGTCCGTTTATTATCTAGAGTTTATCTAACATCAGAAAGGGTTCTTCGAGTCTCGCAATGACCCCAAGAACGACCCCGTTGTCCTTTGGCTGAACGGCGGTCCCGGCTGCTCGTCCCTCACCGGACTTTTCTTGGAACTTGGACCCAGCTCCATCGATTCTAAGATTAAGCCTGTCTACAATGATTTCTCGTGGAACAACAATGCCTCTGTGATCTTCCTGGACCAGCCCATCAATGTCGGCTACTCCTATAGTGGCTCCTCCGTCAGTGACACTGTTGCTGCTGGCAAGGACGTCTATGCTCTCCTGACATTGTTCTTCAAGCAATTCCCCGAGTACGCTACGCAGGACTTCCACATTGCTGGCGAGTCCTATGCTGGCCACTATATCCCTGTCATGGCTTCGGAGATTCTCTCCCACAAGAAGCGCAACATCAACCTCAAGTCTGTTCTCATTGGTAACGGTCTCACCGACGGTCTTACTCAGTACGGGTACTACCGCCCCATGGCCTGCGGCGAGGGTGGCTACCCCGCTGTTCTAGATGAAAGCACCTGCCAGTCCATGGACAACTCTCTCTCGCGCTGCCAAAGCATGATCCAGGCCTGCTACAACAGCGAGAGCCCCTGGGTTTGCGTCCCGGCCTCGATCTACTGCAACAACGCTATGCTTGGCCCCTACCAGCGCACCGGCCAGAATGTTTACGATGTTCGCGGCAAGTGTGAGGACGAGAGCAACCTGTGCTACAAGGGCATGGGCTACGTCAGCGAGTACCTCGGCCAGGAGAGCGTGCGCGAGGCTGTCGGTGCTGAAGTTGATGGCTACGACTCATGCAACTTCGACATCAACCGTAATTTCCTCTTCAATGGCGATTGGTTCAAGCCTTACCACCGCCTCGTGCCCGGTCTCCTCGAGCAGATCCCCGTCCTGATCTACGCTGGTGATGCCGACTTCATCTGCAACTGGCTTGGCAACAAGGCCTGGTCTGAGGCTCTTGAGTGGCCTGGCCAGAAGGAGTTCGCTTCCGCCGAGCTTGAGGACCTCAAGATTGTGCAAAACGAGCACGTTGGCAAGAAGATCGGTCAGATCAAGTCCCACGGCAACTTCACTTTTATGCGCATCTTCGGCGGTGGCCACATGGTTCCCATGGACCAGCCTGAGTCTGGTCTGGAGTTCTTCAACCGCTGGATCGGCGGCGAGTGGTTCTAAATACTCAGCCGAGGTGCTCTATGATACAATGGGTTCGTGAATTTATCATTACACTGCGTGTTATTGATCTTGTGACTGGCTGTTTTGCGTACAATTTGGCACCTAATCCTGTGGGAAATTCAGAGAGGCCGCACACTCGGTATCATCTGTTTTCCTGCTGGTTTTGGTCATTTGGCTTCTGTTTAGTATATACGACTAGGCAACTTTGAATTCAATCAATCTTGGATATACTTGAACATCGAGCAATAACAGTGATAAAGCGTGAAGGTCGTAGAGCTTGATGTACATATATTGGGCGTAGTGTAGAGATCCAGGGTGTGGAGTGCGGGTTTGGTGATAGGCGCAGATGCAGATATATATTTAACTTCAATGGGGGAAACAAAGCGACGGAGTAAACCATACCTGATGGCTTAAGTTTTGTCCCGCACCGAGGGTCTAGGACATCGATATCCCACCCCACAGCAACGGTATTCTACCCTACGAGGGCCGAAGATCGAGACAGGATCATCGAGTTGGCAATTTGATCCACAACAGATGATTCCGTCGAACCCACGGCCAAGAGAAAAGTAAAGGTATCGAAGAGATCGGATCATTTCATTGATATGGTTCATTTTTAATTTTTAACAGCGGGGAAAAGGTCCCACGAGTGCCCATAGAAACACACCGGAAATAACGGAATCCCTCCAAGAACCCCCGGCAAAAAAAAACGAACAGAATAATTTAGCCCTTCTTCTTGCTGACACCGACGGTGCGACCGCGGCGGCCAGTGGTCTTGGTGTGTTGACCACGGACACGGAGGCCCCAGTAGTGACGCAGACCACGGTGGGAGCGGATCTTCTTGAGGCGCTCGAGATCCTCACGGAGCTTAGAGTCGAGACCGTTGGAGACAACCTGGGTGTCCTTGCCATCGGTGATGTCGCGCTGTCTGTTGAGGAACCACGAGGGGATCTTGTACTGGGTAGGGGTCTGGAGGATGGTCACGATGCGCTCGAGCTCTTCGGTGGTGAGCTCACCAGCACTATAGAAAGTGTCTTGTCAGCTTTGCTGGTCTTGTGATACTTGTGCGATTGTTGTGCGATATTCCGTGTGTCGATTCATGTCCGAACTGCTCCATTGTCTCTTCCAAGTTTTCCTCCAATAACAACGGATGGGAATGATTGCATATTCGATGGGGGTTGTGGCGAACGTACCGCTTGGTGAGGTCGACATCGGCCTTCTTGCAGACCAGGTTGGAGTAGCGGCGACCGACACCCTTGATCTGGGTCAGCGCGTACATGATCTTCTGCTTGCCGTCAACATTGGTGTTGAGCAGACGCAAGATGAACTGGAAGTTCGTCTTCTCGCCGGTCACGAGCGCTGTTATCGAGAAATCCCCATGTTAGCCAACATTCAATTTCGAGAACATCCGTCTCTGCCACCGTCTCCTGCTTTTCTTTTCTTTTTGGCAAATTCGTGGTTGATATCATGTAATGCTCTCAGATTGAAAGGAGGGGTCGTCACGTACACATGATGGGCGATGGGCGAGGATCGCGATGGGTTGTCGACAGAGGGATGGAGAGAGGAAGTCCAACTGAGTGACTTTGCTTGTGGGATCGGGTAATTGGGACGCTAACCTTATTTGGACGAGGGCTCGCTTGCTAGAGACTAGGCCCAAAGTGGCTAGTTTAGAGTGTAGATCATGTGAAGTCACATGACTGTTAATTTCACTGTTAGATTTGGGTAATTTTCTCTGTTATTTACTCGTATTTTACGTGAAGCCCTGACCGACGGCTTTGTTTCCCTCGACATGAAACTGTGACGAACCCATTTCTTGGAGTTATATATCAGCCACTGTCAAAGTGCCACTCTGTGCTTCGAGTAATCTTTCACGATGTCTATATAGACTTGCTCTGTGGAACTGTCATTTCTTTGGTGCTTGTTTTTATCTTTCTTCTTTGATTCTTTGATTAAAATCGCGTCTCGAAGTCTATTGGCACTCACAGGCCCCTACAGTCTTTGGCTCATATGTTTATTTTGGGCCGGATGATACCAAAAGTTCCAGATTCGCTCGCTTTGGAGGACTTCTTAGAGATTCCTGCCTCGATGCTAACCACTTCCGCACTTTGAGGATCATTTCTAGACTCGGGTGAGGTTCACTCATGGCCAAACAAGATAGCAACATGGCCATAACATCCTCTACCTGCACTGAACTAGGGACCCCGATCTACGCCCTCGATTTAGTAGTTCATGTTCTTTGTTCTGTCTAAAGGAACCCCAGAGCCCCACTGTTGTTGATATCAGAAGTGCCTTTCTATTTTTACTCGGTTCTTTGATATCCTCCGGATTTGACCTCGACCAAGAGGTCATGAGCTAATGTGACAAATATAGAATCCCCACCCTCATGCTGCCCTGGCCCTAAACCTTTCCAGCAATCCTGCTGCTTTGTTCATCAAGAAACAAGATGTTACCATGGGTATTCGACTCGGGGCGCTCGGCGTGTCCTTTCATCTCATGCTTACCATCTACAATATGCCACTTTGTTTTCTTTGGGTTGGTAACGATTGCATTCAAGCTGGCACATTGGACAATGGATGTTCCTCGTTGTCCATTAAAGCGCTTGGTTCGCACCGTTTCGCGCCGTTTCGCACCCTTTCGGCCTTCATAGTTTCCAAGTTCCTCAAACCAATATAGGACATACCAATATCAGGATATTGCTCTTTATTCAGCCCATTGTGGCATATTTTCGGGCCTTGCGTCCTTCACTCTCAGTTTGTCGAAATGAGCAATTTCTCTCCACTCGAGATTCCTCCCCTTTCTGATTTCCCGTCGAAGCCGGAGGAACTCGAACACCCACCCCCACCTTTACCTCTTTACGATTTTACCCGTCTTCCTAATCCACCTAACGACTGGTCACATTTCAATGTCAAGTTTGAAACTGTTGCACAGGGACATAGTCGTTCCTTGAAGCTCCCGCAGGTGCAAGTGTTGATGAAACATTACTTCTGGGGAATCCACTATGAAGAAACGACTAGGACCCCCATGACGACGAGAAAGAAGCAAAGTCTCAAGGTTCAACAGATGTTTCTGTTCAAGCTCATATACTACATGCAAGAACGCCATCGTCCGAAAACTTGGCAAGAAATGCTCAACGTTAACCGAGATACTGGGCCACGGCTCTTGAGATATGATCTCGATCCGCGGCCAAAGCCACTCAGTAGGTGGTACATGGCTGCTCCGGATGTGACCACACCTATCTTGAATGCGTACATACGCCCTCTGGACGCGCCACCAGACATGCCCGACTACCTTATTCAACAATATATGTACTCAGTTGATAGCTTGTTCACACCACCTCCAACCCCTCCAGCTCCGGCGCCAACACTCGCTGCGCAAGAAGAGGAAATCCTCCGTATGCAACTGTTGCAACACATGAACCCAGGAGTCCAATTTACACCAGCCTATTCAATGACCGATCCGCCAGGTACGAGAATACCGGGCCCTGAGCCAGGCCAAAAACGGGGCTCGGATGAAGACAGGGAAACCCGTAGAAAGCGCTCGAGACAAATTTCACCCGGTGCTCCTGCTTACCGAGGTTACCCTCGTTCCCCCACTCCACCATTTCAAGAGCCCGTCTTTGCTGTTGATGAAATCACCACTTTTACCTGGACGCCTGCTCTGGCACCTTCCCATACAGTGGCCCCCATTGGAAAGCACCAATTGAGCCCTGTTATCCCGAAACGTTTAGGCCTGATTGACACGCGAGCGCTTACGGACGCCATAGAGCGAGCTGTGATGCAGATTGTATATGCTGATTTGGACCGTGATCCCTCCATTCCATCCACTGAGAAACCCATTCTCCGCGGGACAGCCCAGTCTTATCAGGATATGCTCAAGCTGAAACTTGGATCCTTCCCCACCACGGCGAATGTAAAGTTGTCGCCATTGACCTTTGATTGGGATCCAAACGGCACATTATTTCCGGTCCGGGGCCGCGGCCCTATATGGGATGCAATGTCTTGTGCAACAGATGCTGTTATTGTAGCGGGAATGCTACTCGATGCTGGTTGTACCAAGATAGATCGCGCAAATAATCGAGCAGCTGAGTTCAAGGATATCGAAAAAGCATTCATTGAAGTGACAATGGCGAGCTGGGAGACCTTCGACGATAAGACTTCCATATTTGTGCGTGACGAGTGGCTCCGTATGTTTATCGATGGCTCACCCGGCCTGAGAATGGGACAACCGATTCCTCCTTGGGCGGTATGGTCAGTGGCTACGAGAAGCTTCGCTCAATTTCGTTATTTCCACGTTGAGCGAGTGACCCCTTGCAAATGCCAGTTCACGATTCCGTTCTACAACTCCCATCAAGGGTCCTGCATTTTACCTGGGTACCAACCGGGCGACGAAAATGGAGTAGAACTGCAAGTGTTGATCGAGCGATGTTTCTACCCACAAAAGTCTTTCAGGTGTGATAAGTGTGGTGACCCGGCGGGAGTCACTGGAGAACGAAAGATCGGTCAACTCCCGCTGCGTCTGGTCGTAACCTCTGATATCAAGACGCGAATCCGAAGCCACACGGAGAATCTCAGGTTCAATTACATAGACTATGAAGACAAGCAACAGGTCGCACACTATCGTTGGCTTGGCGGCATCTATAATAACGAATCCCATGCTCGCCTTTTTTGGACAGATACGCAACGAGGTGAGAAAGATGATGGAAATATTATGATGTACGACAGCCAAGTGAATTCCGGAGTCCTTGTCGGTGGGATCCCAGCATTTCAACGTGAAGAAAGAGTACCCACTGAATGGGTCAACCACCATGCCATTCCGCTCCTTTTCTACGAGCGAATCATGAATCCCACCTCAGACCTCTTGTCAAAGGCCAACAACGCGATGTTTCAGATAAATACTTGCGTGAACGAGAACAAAAACCTTCTCGAAGCACACGTCCCTTGGAAGCGATCAAATCCTCCGTTGCAGCAGGAGTCATGGCCCCGTATACTTTCATACAATGGTGAACGCTTCAGCAGTTTCAACCCCGGCTGGGCAACAGCGAGACCATCCCCCAACCCAGCCGCCCCACAGACTATTACACCCTCTCTAACACCCCCTCCCATGGACCCGGCACTTCTTGATCCGATGGTCATTGACCCATCGCTCATTGACTTATCGATTTACTCCACCACCACACCTCCGGAGTTCGACTTGTCCTCATTCTTTGACGTGGCAATGCCTGATGACCCGCCGGCCACTGATCAAGACCTAACTGAGGATCTCACCAAGGACCATATGTTCAACTCGATGATGCAGAGCCCGCGCTGGCTCGCTCAAAATCCTTATGTGTGGCCTTCGGGTCTACCCGGTGACGAAGGAGCTTTGGACTTCCCCGAACTGCCTATGACGCCCTATCTAGGCAATCGCAAGAGCACTGGGTGGTCAGATATTCCCATGCCAGATGCGCATGAGAGTATCTCTGAGCTTCGAAACCGAGTCTTCCGCAGTACGCACGGTAATGGACTCCAGAGGTCCGCGGTGGCAAGTTACGCTATTTCGAAGCAGGTCCTGAGTGCAAGTGAGAAGGAGGCCCTGCATGAAGAGAGGATGCGTCTATTCAGGGCGAAGCAGAGATTTAGTGATGTAGAAGACAGAGAGGAAGAGGAGGAACTTGACCAAGAGAAGATCGACCGAGAGAAGATAGAGAGACAGGAGAGACAGGAGTATCGCAAAAGGAGAGGGGAACGGGAAAAACAAGAGGAGCTTGATAAGAAGAAGAGAGAGGAGCGAGAAAAACAGAAAGAGCTCGAAAAGAAGAGAGAACAAGAACAAGAAAGCGAAGAAATGGAGAAAGACTCGAAATGGACGAAAGAGGAATACTATAAACAGCAAAGACGAAAGGAAGAACAGAAGAAACAGGAAGAGAAGCCCAAGATATCAAGAAGACCGGGGTTGAGGAATTCGAGGAAGAAAAACACCGATCCAACATGGAAGCCTGGTGATAGTGATGGAGATGAAGCAGACTTGTCTTGATTTGTGTAATTTGTTTTATATAACTAGATATGTCAGAAGTTATTTATGTTTACTATTCATTTGATTCTTAAATTCAACATACGTTCAAAGTTCCAAGGTTGATACGAGTCAACACGCCATCTGCCAATCAGAGGACTCTTATTTGATATACCCGAGGCCCGAGTCTGTATAAGACGAGATAGTACGGAGTATATAACATACTTAGTGCTAGTTAGAAGTACTTTTGACAATCATAACTCCTTTTAATACATAGCAAGTCTAAATATGTACTACGGAGTACTCCGTCCATACTAGCATAGTATTATTCAATCCATAGCCGTGCGCCTTTCCCCGCAATCCCCCAGATTCCCAGACTTATCCCCTTTCCCTCTTCTTTCTCTTTATAATCCCATTGCTTCAACTACATACATACGAAACTACACACCAACAGCCATCCAGTTATCTTAACCACATTCTATGATCTATGATCTATTTACATGTCCGAACCCTGCAGTCTGCAGTCCCAGATCTACCAACGCAGTGGGGAATTGATCCAAAAGAAGGCCAAAAACAAAAGAAAAAAGATAATAATCTACAGACGTGCTCTGGGCGGGCCTGTAGCAGTGTTGCTCTTCTTCGGTGCCGAAACATATCCACCGAGACTGCCGTCAGTGTTGGTCACCGCACCCTGAGCATCACGCCGGATGCCAAGTTCAATCAACTTGGCAAACACCTTGGAGAAGTGATCAAAGAACAATTCCTTATCCTCGGCATATCGCTTAACCCACGGGGCAAATGCCGGGTCCGTCGAGAGCGCCATATCAGTCGGCAGCATCATTAATGGCTCCTCGTCCTCCTCGGCATCGGGATCCTCATAGACAAACTGCGTCATCCCCGACACCATCTTGCGAGGCTTCCAGTCAAGCTGAAGCAGCAATTTGAAGAAAGAGTTCGAGAACCGCGTCGGGTTCGTCACCCACGGACCCTCGAATCCACTGCGGTCGCCGTGGCACCGGCCCAGGTTGTGTCCACCCGTCAGCGCTACGATCTCCTGGTCGTTGAAACCCATGCGGTAGAAGATGAACCGCAGGTGGTCGGCGCCCTGGGCTCCGTCTGGCAGTCGTCCCCGAGGTGGCACCTTGCTGTCGCCTATCAGATCTGTACGTCCGCCTTGCCAGGGGATATCGGGTCCGCCCATCTCCTTAATCGCCACTACGCCGGCCAGCGTCCACAGATCCGAGTACGTGATCCAGGGATGCTTCTCTTTAATCGGCTCTAGGAATGCCCGTCCGTGCTGCAGACCAGCGTTGGCGGGATCGCCACCCTCTGCTTCGTACCGCATACCGGCCCCGTTGGAACCACCGGTATCAGTTTCGGCATCATATGTGCCAGACGAATGCCTGTTTGGAATTTTGTCAGTGACATTGCGTTGGGAGAGGCTTATCGCCCCCGTTGATCCGAGGGTCCCCGACCGGGAAACAAGGCTTCGAGGATCATGTTTACTTACCATGCTAGTCGCACGAATACGGGTCCTGCACTGCCATCGTCATAACCGGGCTTCTGCAGGATGGCGGCGATGTCCTTCCGGACGGCGTCATAGTCGTGAGTGCTCATTCTCGGTCTCGGCCGATAACGCGGTCCGGGGTATGTTTCTCGTGAAGAAATTGAACAAACTCAACGTCGGCGAGGTGGGTTCGAAGAGGACGAAAGGATTGAAGTTCGGAAAGAGAAAAGAAAGAGAAAAGAAAGAGAAAACTGAACAGAAAAGAGAAACCGAAAAAGAGACCCCCGGACTTTCCACATGGAAGAGACTCGGTGGATCCGCGGGCCGAATCAGCCTGCGCCTATTGAAGATGCCGAGGTTGGACGTGACCATGAACTTATGAACTTGCTTATGATCGATTTCTATTGTGATTTCGAACTGCAATTTCCGACTGGATTTCTCAGTTCCGATGGCCCATATTTTCTATTTTAAGTGATTATCGCCTTACAATAATCCACCGGAACAAGCCCTGGATATGAAATCACATTCCAGAATCGCCATCAAATGCCGATTCAGACCTCGGAACTCAGAAGCCGACTTTAAGATTCGGACGCTAATATTTATAGGCAAATCCGATGCTTACATATATTAATAGTATTTGCAAGGGCATATAGTTGAAATATGTGTCATTTTGACAAAACTTGCCCCCCGATTCTGCACTGCTTGTCATGGCTGTGGGTAAAGAATTGACCGACTGTGTGGGAGAGATTGACGAAGGAGGCTGCACCCCAGAGTGAACATGCTTGGGCAGCTCTTCACCGTGGCATCAGTTTTTGATTCTTGCTCTCTCGAAATGGACGTGGGTGACGTGGGTCCGACCTCTTTTGCCCTAAAAGTCAGGGCCAACAAAAAACAGTGTGTAACGGTTTCGCATGAAAGCTCCAATAAGAAAAACCAAGAGACATCTGAGGACACCTGCGAGATATGTGAGAGATGCCCGAAAGACTTCAAATATCTCCCCCTTCTCCATTTTCACCTCAGCTCTCCTCAATCTCATTTTGCCCGAAAGACTTCAAATATCTCCCCCTTCTCCATTTTCACCTCAGCTCTCCTCAATCTCATATTCCCCATCGACATCCTCCCCCGCGTGGACTCCAAACTCCCCGTCGGCACTGTCTTTCGAAGCATCCACATTGCAAGCTAGTAGCATATCCCGCTCCCTTCGTAAATGCACTATCTCCCTTCGCGCCTCTCGTAGCGAGATGCTCAACTTTCGCATCTTGACCTGGTATGCGCGACCCAGCCCATCCGCTTGCCCAGCCAACCGCGAATACTTCTTCCGGATCCACTTCCTCTCTTTATGGAGCCGGCCCACCTGTCGATCGAGCAAGCGTCGCTGCTTCACGTCGGTGTCGCGGATCGTCTGGATCACCTTGTCGATTACGCCGGTGTGTTGCGCGTGGAGTGTGCCTTCTTCGGAGTACTTTGCGATGCTTATGAATGTAGCGCAGATATCTGCCGCGATGGATGCCATCAGCTCGCTTTTTGTGGTGGATGTTTGCTGTTCTAGGTTCTCTAGGCGTAGAGCGCAAGACCCTGGTGTATTTGGTCGCTGGTTTGGATGGTCCGGTGCGATCGCTGGTGTAGATGAAGTGGTAGGCTTTTCGGATGACATGGTGAGTGCTGAGTTTCTGGTGAGAGACTCGTTTTGGAGCGGACTCTGCTGTGTAGAGCCTCTGGGCTTGAGAGGATGTGGGATTCTAGATGAAGAGGAATTAGAACAGAAGAAGAATAAAAATTTCTAAGAATATACCAACGTAATTATAGCCATTGAAGAATTATGGATCGTATAATGTGTTATCTGATTTTCTTTCAACCCCAGTTTTCAGTTAACAAACATTGCCTTTGATCGGTTTCTTTATCAAAGTGAGATTCATTGACCAGCCAGTTTGACGCATATGCTAGGGCTTTGTTTGAACCGGGCAATCATTGATATATCCAATCTTTTATACTCTATAGCGCAGACACAATCGCATCGCCCACTTCTTTAGTACCAGCCCTACCCCCAAGGTCAGGCGTCCGAAGCCCTGAGTCCAGCACTTTGCGCACTGCATCCTCCACACGTCGAGCTTCATCTTCCATGCCCAACGAGTATCGGAACATAAGCGCGACGCAGAGGATCATTGCAACCGGGTTAGCAATATTCTGTCCCGCAATACTATAACAAAGTTAGAACAGGCCTTTTATCAGGTTTCTAGCACTTACGTCGGAGCAGATCCATGTGTAGGCTCGTACAGCCCGTAAGGTCGTGTCTTCAGAGTCTTATCGCCAGGCAGACCGTTGAGACTGGCACTCGGCAACACACCAAGTGTACCCACAATAGACCCAGCTTGGTCGGAGATCATATCACCGAAGGTGTTGTCAGCCAGGATAACGCCATTCAGGGATCGCGGGTTCGTTGCTAGAATCAATGACGCAGAGTCCGCCAGCTGGTGCACCAATTTCACTTGCGGGTACTCGGTTGCCATGGTCTTGTCCACTACCCGGCGCCAGAGTCGCGAAGAAGCTAGTACATTCGCCTTGTCTAGTGAGATCAAAGGCCAGGGGGGATTGTGTCGCAGTGCCACTTCGGCGGATAGACGGGTAACTCGCTGGATCTCGGCTTCGGAGTAACCCCATTCATCCATTGCTGTGGTAGAAGAAAAGGTTAGATCGCTATTAAATTACAGTAGAATCTCAGCCAGACCCACCGTATGTTTCTTCTTCGACCTTGCGGCCGAAATACGCCCCTCCGCAGTTCTCCCGCACGACAACAAAATCAACACCTTCAATAACATCGTGCTTGAACGGGCTGAACTCCTTGGCGATAGAGGCACTCGGCGAGGTAGAAGAGCATGGGCGTAGGTTTGCATAGATATCCATAGCCTTTCGTAGCTGGAGTAGTCCTCCCTCAGGACCATCAAGACCACGACGCTGATTGTCCCATTTCGGACCCCCAACTGCGGCGAAGAGCACTGCGTCTGAGTCCAGAGCCGCCTGTTTGACTTCTTCTGTCACAGACTTGCCGTGAGCGTCAATGCTGCACCCTCCAATCAACTCCTGGCGTAGTTCAAACTTGCGTTCGGGTGTCTCGAAGACCTTAAGGACCTTAACGGCTTCCGCCATGACCTCGGGCCCGATGCCATCGCCAGGTAGGACGAGAATGTTGAAGTTTTGGGTCATGATGCTATGGTATTTGTTGTCTCAAAGGAATATCTGGGGTAAATGAGTTTATTCTCATACCGCTGGCACCCAGGACTATATACGGCCTATATCGGAGCTCGGTCTTCAACCCGATTGATGCGGGGTTTGATTTTGGTCGGGCTTTCGCCGATGACATAGCCCCCGATGTGCGGAGGTCAGTTACAAGGCAGGAGATATTCGACTCGGCCTTCTGGGAGCTGTCGGTTGTGAGGATTACACAAGACCAGGCCTACATAGGCCCGGCACTGCCTACTAGGTAAATTTGTAGTATTGTCATTGCCTAGTAGAGTAGCTCTTCATGCATCAAAGAGTCTGGGATATCTTGATTCATGTTATAGTAGAGTATTGACAGAATTATGCCAATAGTGAAGCAGATATCCATGGATAGTGCTATATAACCCAATGGTATTTGATAGTATGAAAAGTTGCGGCCTCAGGCATCAATCTCGCTCTCCACATGCGATTATCCGACCTGGAAACATCTAGTCCATCCTGTACTATTTGGAGGATTTTAGGCCCAAGATCTTCCTATAATCGTCTACTTCCTTTTGATTCATTGTTCGCAAATCTTTTAGATCTCATTTCCAGTCCGACTAATCCGGTAATAGGGCTTAGGGCCGACCAGACCCCCTCCTGTTTGCACTGTTTGCATTGCGGGCATCATTTCTAAAGCATTTGGATCTCCAAATCTCCGAAAGCGCAAGACATTTTCCTGCGATCGACCCTCAAGATGTCGCGCGTTGAAGAGCTTCCAGATGACTTTGATGAGTCGCTTGACCTCAATAAAGCCCCTCCTGAGGTCACCCAGGGCCTACCGCAGCCCGGGTTTGACGCCTTCGCCCCTACAAACGAAATTCCCTTCCCGATCAACGAGGAGGCACTGAAGGCACGCAAAACCGATCCCAATGCACCCGAACTTCCGCCAGCTATAGCGGCTATTCAGTCGCATACTTCAGAGGAGTTGATGGCAATGATGAATAAGACTCCTCTGTTCATGACCGATATTGAGAATGCGGGTGACGAGAGTACGTCAGACCATTACTTGGACATGGTTGTTCAATTTGACTAACATATCTCGGTTTACAGAGGGTGAAAACGTGCTCCTAGACGCCCTTCAGGCTCTGCAGAATGAAGGTACTAGGGCCGAGGTTGCGAATACCTTCAAGGGCCAAGGAAATGAAGCTGTACAGGAACTCAAGTGGATCGACGCTAAAGAGTTCTACACAAAGGCCATTGCTGTTATTAATGCCAAGGTTGATAAATGGGAGAAGCCCGAAGATCCCGAGGAAGAGGCGGCGCTGTTGCGCAAGTTGGATGAGGCATCGCACATCAACCGGGCATTGTGCAACTTGGAACTAGGTATGTCTTATCTTCCTGGCTGTACCGGACATTGGCTAATATATCCCATTTTGCAGGAAACTACCGTTCTTGTACGCTTGACTGTGCTGTCGCCCTCAAGTTCAACCCCGCAAACGTGAAGGCCTTCTATCGCTCCTCTTTGGCGCTCTTCAAGTTGGACAAAGTCGCCGAAGCTGAAGACGCTGCAGCCCGAGGGTTGGCAATTGACCCAGAGAGTAAGGCTCTTAAAGAATCCGCCAGAAAAATTGCCGAGCGCAAGGCCCTTTTGGAGCGTGCTGCCGCGAGAAAGAAGGCCGAGGAAGAGAAGGTGCGCAAGCAGAATATGGTCCTTAGCACAGCTCTGCGCGCCCGGCAGATCAGAACCCGCAAAACCGAGCAGCCTCCTGATATGGAAGATGCCAAGATTCGCCTTGTCCCTGATGCTCTCTCGCCGGAGAGCACAATCGAATTCCCGACCGTTTTCCTTTACCCCATGGAGGCCCAGTCAGACTTTATCAAGGCGTTCTCGGAGATGAATGCTATCGAGGACCATCTGAGTTACATCTTCCCCCTTCCTTGGGATACCAAGAAGGAATACACTGTCGAAGGTGTTGAATGCTTCATGCAGACTGTCTCTGGTGGTTTGATTAAGGCTGGCAAGAAGCTGCCTTTATTGCAAATCCTCTCTGGTGGTAAGGTCGAGGTTGTGGATGAGCTTGTCACCATCCACGTCGTGCCTCTGTCCAAGACCGGTAAATACATTGCGGAGATGAAGGCTCGGAAGACTGGCTGAGCGGTATCTCATTGATTTGAAGTCGACCGCTCAACTTTCAACCGATCCCGCGGATTTCTACGCCCAGGTGGAATTTGCGTCCACGAAATCATCACACCCAGGGGAGGAGTGCTATCCCCCTGGCCATCCCCTGTTGGTCTGGATTTGGCTGCAACAGTGGTACCCTAACCACTCTTAACGCTCGGCTCTGGTCCTATACCAGAGCAACATGATGTTACAAAATCTCTGATACCCCTTAAAAGCGTCTTGTGTACATAGATGCATTTTCAGATTCTTATATTGTATAGATATCATTGAGGCGGCAATGCCCCTGGGAACGAAACGTCCCACTGATTATAATCCAGCATATCCCATGGTCAAGTGAAGATTATCCGGCGTTAGCTCAGATTAATAGCCGTTATTTGAATGACCTTGATCATGCAATGCTGATAGCTATATGCCCGGGTGATTGCATGGTGTGTGCTCAGCGCTAATGTTCAATCCAAAAGAGGGGACGGGCCCCTGTCTAGCCTGAATAAACGTTGCGGGGGACCTGAAGATTCTCCGGAGAAGAGCGTATTTACCCGGTCTCTTCTTCAGCTTCACTCGACGGGAAATATGAAAAAAGCCTCTTTTTGCCGCGAAGAAAATACGGAATTTGCTCCGCTGTCTCTCTATTCGTTTCTCCCACCCGACCACCACGTGGCGCCGGACTCCTTGTCTATTTCCTTGGCTAAAGTGACAAATTGCATGCACGAATTCATACTCATTAGGCGTCTTAGCAGAGGCCAAGCCCATTTGACGATTCGAAAAGGCCGCGACAACTACGCCACGGCCTGTCGGCCCGTCAAAGTCGAAGTTGTCCAATGTGAGAGCTAACAGCGGTGACAATCCGTCGTTATTTATCTCTGACTATAAAAGGAGCTATTCCCCATTCCAGGTCTAGACCTTGCGATCAATTCTATTCCCGGCATTGGTTATCTCGTCATGGTTCACCTCTCCACCATTGCCCTGGCATTGGCCAGTGTTCTCCCTCAGTTGTATGGTTTACCTTTCAATTTCGAGCATACTTTAACAGTGACTGATATTTATTTTTAATAGGACCCAAGGAGCCGGCTTGCACACCTCTGCTGTTGCAAAGGGAAAGCTATACTTCGGATCAGCCACTGATAACCCCGAGTTGACTGATACTGCATACCTTGCGCAACTGAGCAACACAGATGACTTTGGTCAAATTACACCTGGCAATTCGCAGAAGGTTGGACAAACCTCGCCGTGCTATTCAGACCCTCGCTAATCGTCGCTAGTGGGATTCAATTGAGCCGTCCCAAAACACCTTCTCCTATACCAAAGGAGATGTCATTGCCGATCTTGCTGCTAAGAATGGCCAAAAGCTGCGATGCCATACTCTGGTTTGGCATAGCCAATTGCCCAACTGGGGTAAGCTTTGTTATCTCATATGTCTTTCAATGCATGAATAGATATCTAATCGGTAAATAGTCTCCAGCGGCTCCTGGACTAACGCAACCCTAATTGCTGCCATGAAGAACCACATCACCAACGTGGTGACTCACTACAAAGGCAAATGTTATGCTTGGGATGTTGCCAACGAAGGTCAGTCCTGAACCTAGGAACGAATTATACATCATCAAATAGCTAATAGATTGATAGCTCTTAATGAGGACGGCACCTATCGTGACAGTGTCTTCTACAAATACATCGGCGAGGCATACCTTCCTATCGCGTTTGCAACAGCAGCCGCCGCAGACCCAGATGCCAAGCTCTACTACAACGACTACAATATCGAATCAGCCAGTTCCAAGTCAACAGGTGCCCAAAGAATTGTCAAGCTCGTGCAGCAGTACGGTGCCAAGATCGATGGTGTTGGCCTCCAGGCACATTTTATTGTCGGAAGTACCCCTAGTCAGAGTGCGCAGACTACCAACTTGGCCGCATTCACAGCCCTGGGAGTCGACGTTGCCTACACTGAACTTGACATCCGTATGACGCTGCCATCAACTACTGCCTTGCTTACCCAGCAGTCGACCGATTACAAAAATACCGTTGCGGCGTGTATGGCAAACACCAAGTGTGTTGGCATTACGATATGGGACTACACGGACAAATACTCTTGGGTTCCTAGCACGTTCCCTGGTCAGGGTGATGCGTGCCCTTGGGATGCGAACCTGGTGAAGAAGCCGGCCTATGCTGGTATCTTGGCTGCGCTGGGCGGTACCACCTCCACTACTACTACTTTGGTTACTAGCACAACTACTGCCGGTTCTGGCGGTACTACTAGCGTCCCTCTTTATGGTCAGTGTGGTGGCTCAGGCTGGACTGGAGGCACAACTTGCGCAAGTGGAACCTGTAAACATATCAATGACTGGTACTCGCAGTGCCTGTAAGCCAGGACAATGATGTCTGATGACGAAGGGGAAATAGGCCGGCCTGTGCCCATCTACCTTTTTATCAGAGGCATAACCTCGGGATTACTCTATAAAGAACTATTCAGGCAGGTCGTCTTCTTCCTATGCAACGCGAAAGAAATTCATTATCGTAAAAAGAGACATTATATGTACTCCGGTCTATGCTTAGGCGCTCAATAATTGAAATAGTAGGGGTGGCCATATGGCATCATTGTCTCTGTTGACGAGTTTTCTGTCGAGGTCTGGGTGATTGGAACGCCTGCGTCGTGGGACAGGTTAGGGGTACCGTAGAATTCCATCGGGGGTGGTGGAATGCCAGAAACGCCAGGGTATGGATAGTGCGCCATGCTAATGGGGCTTGTCCGGTCAATCAAATGTGTTCCAGCAGATAGTGGTTCGTGTTTCGGCCTCAGTTCCAACGGCGATGTCGACATATTTGTGGAGGGGCCGACAGAATGGTATTGGGTGTTTGGGCCCAAGTGCATTGCTTGGTTATAAGGATTGGAAGGATTGTAAGGGGGCGCGTTCGGCAGGTCTCCGTCGCTGCACTCGGACTCGGTGATATTCTGAGAAGAGACTGGTTCGGTTGGCGAGCTTTGTCCGCTGGATGTGTCTTCTGCCATTTGAGGAAGGTTGGTGCGAGCTATAGATACGTGTTTTCCATCTAGATAACAGATATGAGTCTCGGGTGTAGAAGATAATGTGAGCGAGTATGTACCTGAAATCCCATCGAGGAATTTTTCTTCCTCCTCGCGGACTCGATATGCCTCATCCAAGATTTGCAGACGCTCGACCGGAAGGATTTGACGACGAATGGGCTGATCGCATTGTTTTAATCTGGCCGCTGTGACTCCGTGGGTTTCGCGCATCTCGCAGAGCATGTATACCAAAAGTCGGATGCGTTCTGAGTAATTGTCAGCGTGGTAAGGCATTCGGAAGGATTGTTCTCTCTTACCAACTTTTGGAAGATGATCCGGCTCCCGATGGCTCACTCCACGCGGCCACCACGGTGGCTTAGTTGCCTCTGGGTCAAGCTGTTGGGTTCTTCCTTCAACGATCTTGCGTCCATTGTATGGGTAGTTCACCTGCTTCCGCGGCTCGACTAATTTGATGTAGGCTTTGGCGATAATTCGGCAGTTTGTTTGTTGTAGGTTTTGGAAGATCTTCTCGTAGTAGAGGCGCAAAACATCTCTGTCTTTTACGGAGATCAAGGCTCTTTGGTGTGAAGCCAAGTTGAGGTCCCGACCACCAAAATTCTTCTTGGGTTGTGAGCTGGCTTGTAGAGGCCAAGATTGGCTTGACGGCCACATTGCCGGCTGGAATGGCGACTCTGCTTGAGAAGCAACCTGCATCCTCTGTTGACTACCTAGGCCCATTCCACTATAAGCCATAGGCTCCCCCTGCGACGGGGCAGAGCTGTTGTTAAATGGTTGCCCCCCACTAGACGGAACTCGGACCTCGGGAGAAACTGTTCTATGTCAATAAAACACTTCATGTGGGGTAAATATAGACCTTACCCTGACATCGTGTTGCCTGGGCTTCTCTCGACATCGCCACTGCTCGGAGGAATTCACCCGTGACCCTAGGAGAGAAGATGGTCTCGCGGCTCTCCGAAATGGAATCGGAGGCCCTTTGGCAAAGATTCCCATCGCTATCTATGTAGATCATAGCAAAGTGGGTATATTCAGGTTCCTCTGGTGATCGCCTGGGCATCTTTTCCGGCCCCTGGCTAGTGTCAGCTCTATCAAGGACCTTGGTCACATAAAAAGGATGAAATAATGAAATACCCTGTAGTATAGACCCATTGGCTGGCCCCAGATTTTGTATGGCAAACTTGTCAAGTTCCTCCGAGCCACAAGGAACAGAAGGAGTTTTCTATAGGAAATTTGAGGATGGGAGAAGCCAAATGAAGACCATTCTGCGACGGGGATCACCACAGTAGCAATGCCTCCAGCTTGTGTCGATCAGTGACTAAACGATGTGCTTGATAAGGATTTATAAAAGCCACTGGATCTTTTCAGGTGTGGCGTACTCCCTGCTCCGTACGCAACTATAGTGCGCCACAGGTGGAGGCCCAACTTCAACAAAGGCCTGTGGAGACGAGAAACGAGAAAAGGACCGATCTGCACGCCAACGCAGATACAGTATCGAAACAGACAGAGTATTTCAGGACGCACTAAGCCCTGATTTGGAATGCGGACTTCTTTTCCCCTTCTTTTCCTTGGGCCTATCACAATCTCAGTGTACAGCCACAGGAGAGTAGGGAAATTCCCCGAATAACAGATCCGATTGAACTTGACATCTATCATGTCTATCAACAGCACGCCATCCGCTATGGGGTGGAGTGGCTAAGTTGTTTCCCCGTCAAACTCTCACGACTCAGTCCGCTGGACCATGCCCCATAGAACATTCTGACGTCTTACTGGAATATCTATTCTAGTACAAAGTACCTTAGCAGCGCAATAAGAAATGTCAGTCGCTGCATGATAATAATACTCAGCCCCGGCCCTGTGCCAACCAGTTGCCTTATTCCCACAAATATTCCCGAAAATGTATGTATGTGTATTACTTCTCCCATCTCCTTGCTTATCACCAGAGTCACACCGTTAACTGACACGGAGTGGGCGAGAGGTACCTAGCTAGGACACGCATTTGATGCACCGTGCCATAGTTCTGCTCTACCTATCACTAGTCAGTTGTCTTATCTTGCCAAGACCATTTCCGTCCTGTCTATGCACAGGAGATTTCTAGTCATGCGCTTGGTCGTCATGTGTGGCTGGGGGGGAATACGAAGGTTAATCAAATTACAATTGGAAAATGGCAAATCCCGAACTATTTTACCGAGCGGGCTTAACTCGGTCTGGCCTCAAAGCTAAAAAGCCTCAACTTTAGATCGATCTATGTTGTCTGGGCTTACTTAGGTTTCTCCTGAAAGGCTTCAGGTTCAGATTGAGCTTTTCATCAGTGATCGACATGTGCTGACTGAAAGGGGATTGGGTGAAGAATGTGAGACAATATGTAATAAGCGACGGTTTCATTTGCCACCGTGCTATTTCCCATGGTACGGAGTACGTACCTATAGGTACATATATTGTATGGCTCCATACGTGCATGGGCCTCATTTATAAATCTCTTATAATAAATGACTCGCTCGATCAAATCCCGGTAGCCAAGTGGAGCCACACAGATTCTATAATCAAACGCACGATAAGCTTCTCAATTCCCGGATGTTCCGTTGTGGGGAAGAGTGTGTCGCTTTCGATGAAGCCCTCGAGGTTTTAGGGGACATGTATACTAATTCATGTGTTTAATCTCAAGAGGCACTTAACGTTGACAGTATCAATACCATACAATGCCGGAGAACATCCACCTGAGAACTCCGGTGACTCCCGCGTACCTATGTACATAGGCTAAATCCATGGTATTTCCATGGTATCAGTACATACCTAGGTAATTGTCCACTGGTACGGAGAAAAGGCTTAAGGTTTATCGTCGGGAAAGAGATTGAGTTTAGAGTTTGACCATGGATCATGGATTTGGAATATTGGACTCGGTAGGTACGGAGTATAATACATGGATGTCTAAACTGTCAGTCTAATTGCTCAGCCCCATAATTCCATTCGCATCATTCCCGCATATCCGACTTGCATTTCCTGGAAATGGGGTCCCCCTACTTGAGCTTGTGGCGCCTAGATGACGCTTCACCGTGGCCCACAGTTCCCCTTTTAGCGTTCTGCATACTCGCGCCAACAACTGCATATGCACAACTATGTATGTTGTAATTGATAAAATTCTCAAAGTCTTCGTTTATACCCAGATTTTAACGGTTTTCTTTATCCCCTGCCTACACTCTGCACTCACATGCCTTTTGTGTACGGAGTAGAGATCGAGGCACTGAATGATATGAACAAAGTTTAAAGGATCGTCTAGCAATATAGCCTTTCTTGAGAGATTACCTGATGTGTGGCTTCCAAGGTTGCTCCTTCCTGATACGTCAAGTTAGGAAGAATTTCAACCCCTTTCTCACGTACATATGACCCGTGTGTCAAAGTCCCCGAATGTGATTTGTGGATACTGATCGCCAGGCTATAAGTGCCAAGCGGTCGCTGGCGAATACATACATACCTACTCCGTAGATGTACAAAGTATTAATTTTGTTTAGGAGCTTTTTCTTCTCCCTTCGATATCCTTGGCAGGGAACTTGGGGGGCTTTTGTCCGTGAATTGCGTTCTTCCCAACACCGCCCCGTAGATGTGAGCCATCGGCAGTCTAGACCAACGACAGTAGGGACCAAAACGCCTCAATTTCATGTGTGAACACTATGGCGGTAAGAGGTATGGTCGTCTGCGTGGGGTCAAGAGAGACTGAAAGTCGCTATGAGCAAGAAAAGTGGCATAGGAGAGGAAGTCTGTTACCGAAGCTTGGATAGGCGGAAATCTATGGGTCTGCTTTCACACGTTATACTTGGAAGATAGTTTCTATATTGTATAGCTTTTTGGGCACTCCGAGTATTCTGCACTTTGTCTAGGCCACATTTTCACACATCTGGCTAGAAAGGAGAATAGCATGCAAAAGCATAGGTATAGTAGTGTGATCTTCCATATAATGTCTCTAATATCATCTCAATATAATATATATCGGGACTATTCAATTCTCGTATCGTCAAATATAGAGGCATCAGCTGACTATTCTTGATGTTGGAATAGGGAAGTCGGATATGGTTTCCTCCATAAATCTCAGGCACAATATATTCTCTGCCTGAGGCATTAGATATCGTACCCCGTGACCTTCGAATGTCACTTTCATTGTGGAACACCAGCCACCCTCTCTAAACATCAAGTACACTCTTAGAACTCTGGATCACGAAGTCAAGTCTCAAGTCAACTTGGGATATTGCCATTATCATCCCAACACATCATTCATTCGAGCTTGTGTCTCCACCATTCCAAAAGGGCTCCGCTGCATTAGCCCGCCCACGGCTGATCGCTCTGACTCTGGGCACCAAAATCTGTCTTGCTCCGAGTTCCAGTTCGCTGTGGAGGCCGTGTTCCTAATACATCCCTGCCTTTTGACTGAGCCAATCACCACTGTCTTCTTTGTTTCCAGCAGCATCGGGTCTCGCCAAATCTCCCCTATCCCTGGATTCCCGGTCAACAGGCGCCGTTGGGCCTTCACCGTCTCGTCCGTGCGGCCTGCGTAATTCAGCCACAGTAGTTTCCCTTAATTGAGGGGATCGCTGGAGAGAAGAAGTATTACAGGTTGAAAAGAATCCCTGGAGCCACTCCTCGACCGTGATGGTCCCCCATTACACAATGGACCCCAATACTGGTTATCCCGCAGGCTATCCCGTCCCGACTCAGAGCCCCCAAAACCAACAGATGCCTTTTTATCCTAACGCTGTTCCCCCGTACCCCCAATCAAAGACACCATCCGCTCAACATTTTGGTGCTATGCCAATGCAGCCTGGTCCTGGTGGAGCTATGATGCCTTCAGGTTTCCCCCAACAATCTTCCGGTTCGTTGCCCCCCCCCGGGCCCCCCTTTTCTTCGTTATTATCATTGGCACGGCGCATCTGTCACTTTTACCCCGGCGCGGCAGACATGTTGCTCAAATTCTTGTGGAATGGGAAGGGTGTCTCGTGAGGCTCAAGGCCGGATTGAATTATTTCCACTCAAGCCCCAATACTTGTGTCACCCGCCCCTAAGACCCTTGGCACTGTCTAGCTTTGACTATTCGTCTCCTGTCTACTGTTGCCACTAACCAGGTCGCTTTATTTTGTTGGAATAATTTGGACTGACCATATGCTTTATCATAATAGCAGCACCTATGGATAATTTCTCAGCGCCCTACACCCAGACTCCCATCCCTACCCCAATGGGCCAGTTTGTTCCCCCTCAAGGCACATCCGGCGCAAACATGCCCTCTCAAGTAGCCCAGACATTCTCTCAAAATATGGCGTCCATATCAGCGAACAACCTACTCGGCACACAGCCAAAACCCCCTTCGCAAACGAACTCACCCCAAACCGGTGCCTCACCTGCGGCTCCAAACCAGCCCCTGGCCCAGGCTCAAGCTCAAGCTCAAATTGCGGCCCGTGAGAAGGCCCGCGTCACGGCCCTCCTTGACATCAACTCGGCCTTGTTACAAGAGGTGGTGAACCTTCAAGCGGCCGGCAAGGCTGGTCCCGCCTCCAACCCGGACACAAATTCACCCGCGTCAGAGCAACCGGATGCATCCAAAGCCAATCAGAAGCCGAGCCCCGAATACATTGAGTGCATGCGACGCCTACAAGCCAACCTAGCCTACTTGGCGACTATCGCCGATCGAGCGAAGAAAGCGGGAGGCGTCGTTCCTCAAACGCCAGCGATCATGACACCGCCTCCCAACCTTCCCGCTGTGAATGAGCTATATGCCAGACTTAACGAGCTCTTCTCGCGGTCTGCAAAGGCCTCTACTCCACAAAGACCGAGTCCTCCATCTATGCAAGGAAATGGTGGACCTAGCCCTGGCGCTATGACTGAGTCGATTATTTGAGGCAACTAATTGGGAAACATGCAGTCCTCCGCGTGAGAAGACATGCCACAGATTATATCGAGCTCTTGACTTGTCAGCCACCGCGAATCATGCGATCATGGTTCGGGCCACCAATGCAAGCTTTGTGGGAGGCGCCGGCCTATTGCCTTCAACACCATGCATACCCGCAGAAGCATGGA